TTGAGGAAGAAGGAAAGAACCGACCCACAAACAAGCATGTCGTAAAAGGTGACTATTTGGGGATGTTTCCTTCGTAGTCAGAGTTCATCTGCCTGAGTGGCCTGGGATCAACAGTCTGCATCCAAATAAGCCAAATCTTAAAACATACATGCATGCAAAAACTCAAAATCTGAAATCAGTCTAGAAGTGGGGGCCGACTGGTCCTTTCCGCCATAATTTACGGCCGGTGAATGCGATTTAGTAGTAGGACATCATTGGGCTGTCTGCCCACTGCTACATTACTCTTCAAGTAGAAGTGCCTCACCCCCCCCCCCCAACCCCCACTCCCGCCGTCCCACCCCCGCCGTCCCACCTGTCTAAATTTACCGGCTGTTACTTGTTTCTTATTTTACTTGTTTATATTTATGCAAATACCCAGACAACAGCATCATGTAGCAGGTCTTTTGCAGAACGTCGCTCTAATCACGGTCTGCCTGAAAGAAACTTTCTCCAACTCTCCCGCCTCGTATACTTGCTTTCATATTCAACAAATCACCTATTTCCTGTTCACATCTTCGCGCTGGTCGGTTCCAGTCCCTCTTTCCTCGCAACATGTCTTCTGTTGCTTTTCTTTACAATCCGCTTGATATTACCAAAGTATTTCAGTTTCATAAACAAGATGCTGTTTACTAACCAGTCTTCTCGTTCTTCAGATCTTCTAGGATGTCAGTATATCTTTTCTTCTTTGTCCACGGTATTCTAAGAATCTTTCTGTAGCAGTTCAGTTAAAGAAATCTTTGTTCTTTCTTTCGTAATTCCAACGTACCGCGATCGAAACCCACTGCTGGCTGCGTGGATTTTGACTTGACTTGACTTTCTACCCCACCAGGACATCACACAAGCGATAAACACCCGATGACACAAAGTGCCACCATGCGGATAAGGATCACCGTGGAGAGGTCCCAGAAACCGCGTTCAGACAATTGGCCATATTGATGGCCTGCCTATATTGCAGCCCCTGGCAAAAGCCAGAGTGGGGCTTCAAATAACAAAAAAGTACGTCCTAAAAAGGATGTAAGGATGTATGCGTGGATTGGATTGGATTGGATTTTTTACCCCACCAGGACATCACACAAGCGATAAACACCCGATGACACAAAGTGCCACCATGCGGATGAGGATCACCGTGGAGAGGTCCCAGAAACCGCGTTCAGACATTTGGCCATAATGATGACCTGCCTATATTGCAGCCCCTGGCAAAAGCCAGAGTGGGGCTTCAAACAACAAAAAATAACGTCCTAAGAAGGACGAAAAGTAGTTACCATTATGCGTGGATTTTTATCATGGCATGGATCGTTGCAGGGCGACCCAGCGTAAAATTGGTACCAGGATGTATCCCACCTGTTGCCGATTGGTCTGTAAAAATAATGGGTGCTCTTTCCAAATGCCCGAGGCGCTTAAGGCATGAAAAGGGATCTTTGCTTTTTTACTTTCTATATTCTTCCTTAGTGACTGCGAGACACAGCCTCCGGTGGTAGTGAAAGCTGCAGGAGGTCGTGCTGCGAGATAACGACGGGGGCATTGGACATAATACACACACTGGAACTTATTTGATTGCAGCTGATTGCGCTTGAAAGAGAAATGTTAAGTTAAACAGTTGCACCATGAAGCACTCTCCCTTCTGCTTGCTCGGGCAGAAATCAAAGAAATGTAAATGTATTCCTCAATTGCTTGGATGTTGGTTACTGCTTGTGTATATTTACACATACTTCTAGACACAAGGCACTATGGCAGTGATTCCCAAACTGTGCACCGGGGAGCTGTGACCTCTTCACAGGGGCGCCACAAAATATTCCAAGATGCACGTTTTTTTTTTTTAATCTCTTACGCACGAATAGTCATACTTTTACTTAGGTTAGGGCGCCGTAGACAAATTTTAATTGAAAAAAGGTGCCGCAACTAAGATAAGTTTGGGAAGCACTGCACTATGGTAATGTTCTTTTTTGACTGTATCGATTGTGAGATTGCATTTCATGTCAATCTTTGTACAGGTTTCAGTCCAGAGCCTGTTATTCTTTCGATCAAGTATTGGAATTTTGATGTGCTCACTGTCTGAGAAGTTAGAGCAAACAAGCGGGTATAAAATCATTTAACATCGCTTAATGTTCACAAGTGAGACACTCAATGACTTTCCTTTTGATTTCAGGGCATGTGTATCGCCTACGTTGGTAGTAGTCGTGGCTGCTTTCTAACGAAATGTCCAAACGATCTTTTGTTTCTCAGTGAATTTAGTGCATCGTGTTGTTTCCAGGCTGTCTGATAGAAGTTTTTTTTTTTCTCATACCACTGTGTGAAAGTCATGAGAACATTCCTCTGCGCTACTTTGCAAATCAATGCATAATTTTCACTGTCCGTCCGCCTATATCTCTTACATCTGGGATATTCCCAGCTGTGGCAAGACTCTCTATGCCCTCTCATTGCATAGCGACGGCTAAATTATAATTACTGAATTTTGATGATGTAGATACTGCTGGTCTTTGTGTAGGCAGTATGATTGTCTGTGTGTAGGTAGTATGATGGTCTGTGTGTAGGCAGTATGATGGTCTGTGTGTAGGCAGTATGATGGTCTGTGTATAGGCAGTATGTTGTTCTGTGTGTAGGCAATATGATGGTTTCTGTGTAGGCAGTATGATGGTCTGTGTGTAGGCAGTATGATGGTCTGTGTGTAGGCAGTATGATGGCCTGTGTGTAGGCAGTGTGATGGCCTATGTATAGGCAGTATGATGGTCTGTGTGTAGGCAGTATGATGGTCTGTGTGTAGGCAGTATGATGGCCTGTGTAAAGGTAGTATGATGGTCTATGTGTAGGCAGTATGATGGTCTGTGTGTAGGTAGTATGATGGTCTGTGTATAGGTAGTATGATGGTCTATGTGTAGGCAGTATAATGGCCTGTGTGTAGGCAGTATAATGGCCTGTGTGTAGGCAGTATGATGGCCTATGTGTAGGCAGTATGATGGTCTATGTGTAGGGAGTATAATGGCCTGTGTGTAGGTAGTATGATGGTCTGTGTGTAGGTAGTATGATGGTCTATGTGTAGGTAGTATGATGGTCTATGTGTAGGCAGTATGAGGGCCTATGTGTAGGCAGTATGAGGGTCTGAATGTAGCTAGTATGATGGTCTGTGTATAGGCAGTATGATGGTCTGTGTGTAGGCAGTATGATGGCCTGTGTGTAGGCAGTATGATGGCCTGTATGTAGGCAGTATGATGGTATGTGTGTAGGCAGTGTGATGGTCTGTGTGTAGGCAGTAGGAAGGTCTATGTGTAGGCAGTATGATGGCATGTGTGTAGGCAGTATGATGACCTGTTTGTAGGCAGTATGATGGTCTGTGTGTAGGCAGTGTGATGTTCTGTGTTTAGGCAGTATGATGGCCTGTGTGTAGGTAGTATGATGGTCTGTGTGTAGACAGTATATTGGCCTGTGTTTAGGCAGTATGATGGCCTGTGTGTAGTCAGTATAATGTTTTGTGTGTAGGCAATATGATGGTCTATGTGTGTAGGCAGTGTGATGGTCTGTGTGTAGGCAGTATATTGGCCTGTGTGTAGGCAGTATGATGGCCTGTGTGTAGGCAGTATAATGTTTTGTGTGTAGGCAGTATGATGGTCTATGTGTGTTGGCAGTGTGATGGTCTGTGTGTAGGCAGTATGATGTTTTGTGTGTAGGCAGTATGATGGTCTGTGTGTAGGCAGTGTGATGGTCTGTGTGTAGGCAGTATGATGGTCTATGTGTAGGCAGTATGATGGCCTGTGTGTAGGCAGTATGATGGTCTGTGTGTAGGCAGTATATTAACCTTTGTGTAGGCAGTATGATGGCCTGTGTGTAGGCAGTATGATGGCCTGTGTGTAGGCAGTATGATGGCCTGTGTGTAGGCAGTATGATGGTCTGTGTGTAGGCAGTATGATGGTCTATGAGTAGGCAGTATTATGGTCTGTGTGTAGGCAGTTATATGGTCTGTGTGTAGGCAGTATGATGGCCTGTGTGTAGGCAGTATGATGGCCTGTGTGTAAGCAGTATGATGATCTGTGTGTAAGCAGTATGATGGTGTGTGTGTGTGTAAGTTGCAGTATGATGATCTGCATGTAAGCAGCATGATCATCTATATGTAAACAGTGTGATGATCTGCATGTAACCAGTATGATGCTCTGTATGCAAGCGGTATAATGATCAGCTTGTAAGCAGTATGATGATATTATGGGAGCAATATAATGATATTACTGGAGCAGTATGATGATCTATATGTAAACAGTATAATTATCTGTATGTTATACAATATGCTTGTTAGTGGTAGAGTCTGTGATGTGTAGCAGTATGGTGATCTGTATGTAAGCAGTATAATGATGGACATGTATGCCTTACATTGGAATAGCTTGGACTGCTAGAATAACTAACAATGATTGCCTGCAAATGGCTAATGAAAGTAGCACATTTTATACAACAATTAGAAGGAGACAAACACAGTTCTTTGGTCATTTGATGAAAACAGAATCACTGGAAAACATCATGACGACTGGAAAGATCACTGCTAAAAGAAGCAAAGGCAGACAAAGAGAAATAATGGTGGGTGGGTTAAGACAGTGGCATGGAGGAATAACATCCGTGGAATCGATCCAGCACACCAAAGGCCGAGATCTGTGGAGATACATGAAGGCCTACGCCAGCTAGCAAGGCACTTGTTTATGATGATGTATGCCTTGCAATGATCTGTATGTAAGCAGTATTATGATCAGTATATAAGTAGCAAAATGGTATGTTTTTAAGAAAGCAGTCACAGAATGTATGAGGAGGAAGAGGAGAAGAAGAAGAGGAGGAGAAGAATGGGAAAAAAGTAGAAAAGAAAAACTGAAGAAGCAGATGAGGATGAGGAAGAATTAGTAGTTAGAATAATAGTCTGCTTATACCCTTATCTTTCACCCTGGTTGTTGCATACTTGCTACAGAGAAATGTTTCTTTCTTGACTTCAGGGGAGAGTGCCTTACATATAGCTATCGTCATTGGAGACTTTGACCTGGTGAAGATGTTGGTCAATGCTGGGGCTCTGGTCAATCAGAGGGCAACAGGGAGGTTCTTCCTGCCAGAGGATCAGAAAAAGGGATACACCGGAAAGACTAATTATAAAGGTAATGATCTGTTAATGCTTGTGATCATAATGATCATGGTGGTCATGTTGTAGGTTAAAGTTGTGGACATGGCGGTTTTTTGGGCATTGTAGTTGATGGTGGTGCTGGTTTAGACAGCAAACAAACAGAGGAATGAAAGAACAAACTTTATTTTCGAAGGGTTAAGAATTAGGCACACAACTTTAATCTCCCTCCTTTCTAATATCATACAATTATACATGTGTGCAGGCTTGATAATTTTGAGTGAGGGGAGGTGTGGGTCAGGGAGTCCGAACAAGTTCCAGACTTGTGTATGGTTCTAATCACGTTAGGTCATGAGTGCAGACAATGGCTTGCTGGTGCTGCAGAATCAGAAGTTCAACAAATGATTCATGACAGTTCCCAACCAAGTGATATGATTATCTATACAGATGGATCTGTAAAGAGGGACAAAGGAAGTGCGTGGGATTTCATAGCAAATGTGAATGGATGTCGCCTAGTGCAGCAAAGCTTTGCATATGATATCACATCTAGTTTAAGCAATCTCTGCTGCCTTTCACTGGCTCGAGAATCAGCTGTACACACATGCCATGATTGTAACTGGCTCACAGAGCATGTTGAGAAAGGTGAAAACAGACATGCTTCATACAGAGTGGCAGGCATCACTTTAGAGGTCCCGGGTAGTTAGCATTCTTTGGATATTTTCTTCAGGTTATGCTGGTGTGTTGGAAAATGAGCAGGCATATAGATCAAACTAAACAATCAGCACTAAGATGACGACCCTACAAACAGCATGCAGAAAACCTGGCTCGACAGACATGGGCGGCTAGAACAACCAACACCAAGAAACATACAAGGAAATAACAGCATGAACATGGCCATAATTTATAACTGATGCTATCAAGGAAAGGCTAACTCCCTAGTTAGGGCAAAGACAAAGCATTAGGACAAAGACAAAGCATTAAGGTTTGCTATGTTCGTAAATTGTTGTTTGTGCCTGCTATTTGAACTATTCTCCATTAATATAAATTTATGTAACCTATGATGCCATTTCAATGGTTTGAAATGAATTCTGTCTATTTTCCATAGTTGTTGACTATTTCATAGCTTGTACGATAGACATGGCTAATAAGACACCCTTTGGGTTGGGGGGGGGGGGGGGGGGGGGGGGTTTGACTAGTTGACCATGTTCTTAGTGCACTTGTTTCCATAGCTTTCTATGAGTGCCAATCAATACATTGTCTGTTACTTTATTAGGAGAATTGAAACTGGTGTCCTGTATGCAGAGTGACTTGCATCATTTGATAAGATTCAGATCAAAAGCAAATCATGGATTTTTTGTCCAGGACATTCAGGCTTGTAAATCAGCTGCTGCCACCCCTCTGGCATATCAGATACTTTTGATAAAATAGTGGTAGTGAAGGGTCTCTATGATCAAATGGACAGTGCAGTAGAATAGAACAGAGAATCTATTGACTAATTCTTTCAAACTGTGTCTGTCTTTTAACTTCTTTCTATAAGCCATTAAAAATGTTATCTAATTTTCATAAGATTGCTTATTCCAGTGAAAGTGTATATTATTCATTGTGAATTATTTATTATAATTATTTTCTTCAATCAGTCAGTCAGTAGCATGTCCTTTGCAGAACCTGGCTCCCATAAATACACTCCTAAAAACTTCTTGATCACAACCAAGATGTTGTGTGTACAATACACTCATTTGAAAATCATCCCCCACATCCTGCACCCATCTTCTCTTTGGCCTTCGTCTTCCTCTCTTCCCAGGCATATGCCCTTCCATTATGGTTCTCTCTAAACTTGTGTGACGTTGAAGTTTGGTTGCATTTGTTCTTTTCTTTACCCAAGATATTTCAGTATGTCAGGCATCAGTAAATGTAACTTTGTGACCATTGACATAGTGTTTTTAATGTATTTCATTTATATTTTTATGTGATTTCCTCTGTCTTCCGCTGTCTGCAGGCTATGCATACTACGGTGAGTATTCCCTGGCATTTGCTGCCTGCCTGGGGAACAAGGACATCTACGACTACCTTCTAGATCATGGGGCTGACCCTGACTTGCAGGATTCCTTTGGTAACACGGTTCTCCACATGGTGGTCATCTCTGATCAAAGTGTGAGTTCCAGATTATCATAGACAGGGTTTCCTCGACATATGTCTCTCACTATCCTGTTTGAAAAACTGGTGAACAAACAATAAGTCCTGGCACAATCCAAAAATCTGTGCATGCAGTAAATGCATATGGCAGTTGCTAGAGGCGCCAAAGCCAACAGTTGCCACCGGAAATGCAGCTAGTCGTTAATGTAAGCAGTCAAGAATGATAAGTTGGCTATCCACATGTAAAATTTTTACATAAGGTATTTCACCAACCCACACGTAAACCATCAACCAGCCATTTGGAAAACCATGACACAACCACTGCACAAATGAAATGCATTCCACATGAACAAGCACTAAACTCAGTAGCTAAGGCAACGAAAGCGTAGACCTCCGTTTATATGTAGAAACTGCAGTAGCAAAGGGCTATCGGAAGCAAAAATAACTTCTAAGCTAGTGCCTAATCTTCCATTTTGGACCCAGAAGTTAAACTAGATCAACTTAAAGGTCTCAGTAACAAAGAGAAATGACTCATGAATGCCGCTCTTTCTCTGAAACTTTGGCCATATTAAATACCAGGCGGGTTGTGGGACCGAATGGCACAGATATTGGAGGTTTACTTGTAAGTGTCAACACAAAAGAGACATAAATGCCAATGTGGATTAGAAAGAACAGTAACGGAAGGCAATGTTCCTGGAATGAGAGGGACGATGTGTCCATTGGGAAGGCAGACCTAGCATGTTGAAGACATTTTGGGTATGTAAATAAGGGAAGTAGAGAAATTGTTGAAGGACACAGATATTTTGGCGGGCAGATTTTCCATGTATGACATACATGATGATGGCATGAGTTATAATGAACTGGAAAAACAGAAAAGTCTGTGTGTCATAATGATGTATTTTGTATCACAGAGCATGTTGAGAAAGGTGAAAACAGGCATGCTTCGTGCAGAGTGGCAAGCATCACTTCAGAGGAGGTCCCGGGTAGTTAGCATCCTTTGGATATTTTCTCCAGGTCATGCAGGTGTGTGGGAAAATGAGCAGGCAGATAGACTGGCTGGCTTTGCACCACTTGGTGGTGAATTGGTGTATGACAAGTTAAATATTGTGAGGGCCCTTTAGGAGGAGTGAACAATGTGAAGGCACAGATAGATAATTACAGTCGAAGGAGAATGGCGCTGCAAGGAGTCACCAGGTGATCTGGCCGATGCTTATGGATGATGCAGATATACAATCAGATGGTTACTGGTACCATCGAAATTGGAACTCTTCCCTTGTTGCTGAAGATCGTGACTGAGAACTTATGAGTGTCTAGAGCGCTGTGATGTCGATTCTTAATTCAACATTCAATATTCAACATATACTTTGCATTTACTGCTACTGCATAGAGTGGTGCACTTGGAGGGCCAGCCTAGACATTGATGATAGATTCTTTAGCTAGGGTTGGTGATTCTATATAATGCACTGAAGGATCTGTGCTGGACAACTGAAAGGATTCTCCATAGAAATAGTTCTTCTGTGGGAAAAGTCTCTGCAGAAACCTTACTCTTAAAGATGAAAACCCCTTTTAAGTCCTTGACCAAGCTGTATGTCAATAAATCAGGCTTTATAGTTCAGTCTTCCAAAAGATTCACAACTATCCAGGCACTTCTCTTTTCTCTCCACACCGAACCATCTGTTTAGATAATCAGATCCCCTGGGCATGAATTGTCATGAATCAACTGTTGGACTTCCACCTCCATACCACCTACTGGCCACTCTCTCCACTCCCGGCCCAATGTGATCATAACCCTACACATGTCAGACTTTTCCTCTGGTACTCTGACCCACTCCTCTCCTCACCCAATGTTCTCCAGCATGAACTCTTAACCTCTTCTTCTGACCTTTATCTTAAAATGGCTTTCAACCAACTTATGCCAAGTCATCCTAATACTTGCTGTCCAGTGCAGCTCAAGTCATTTTCCACCTTTTCACCTAATACTTTTGTTGTCTCTTTTCTTTTCCCATTCTTTGCTCGAGTTATTTGGTCTGCTTTTATTTCTGAACCTTCTGGCTATATTCTTCTTCTTCATGGCATTCACCTGCTATAAACTCTGGCAGGAAGCTCTAGTTTTTCATCCTTGGTCGTTTTCCAGATCTTGAATTTTTGTATGCACATCTGTTTTACAGAACTGGTTTGTATGCATACTGATGGTTCCTCGGCTTTCAGTAAGATGATGCACACTGACTTCAAAGGAAACAGCCCTAATTAGTCATATATTACAACATGAGATGAGATGAGATGAGCCCCAGATTCAAACAGGGAATCTGCTGTCAACAGTATTTCTCTATGTTATGTTTCTTGAATCTCGTTCAACAGGACATATTCAAATATGCAGTATGTTGTAGCTTGTTCAACAGGACATGTGCAGATAAAAATATGCAGTATGTTGTATCTTGTTCAATGGGACATGTACAAATATGCAGTATGCTGTATTGTGTTCAACAGGACATGTACAGATAGATATACAGTATGCTGTATTTTGTTAAACAGGACATGTACAGATATAAAGTCTGTTGTATCTTGTTTAACAGGACATGTATAAACATGCAGTCTGGTGTATCTTGTTCAACAGGAAATGTACAGATATGCAGTATGTTGTTTAACAGGACATGTACAAATATGCGGTATGTTGTATTTTGTTCAACAAGACAAGTACTAATATGCAGTCTGCTGTATCTTGTTCAACAGGACATGTACAAATATGCAGTCTGTTGTATCTTGTTCAACAGGACATGTACAAATATGCATTATGCTGTATTGTGTTCAACAGGACATGTACAAATATGCATTATGCTGTATCTTGTTCAACAGGACATATACAAATATGCAGTCTGCTGTATTGTGTTCAACAGGACATGTACAAATATGCATTATGCTGTATTGTGTTCAACAGGACATGTACAAATATGCATTATGCTGTATTTTGTTCAACAGGACATATACAAATATGCAGTCTGCTGTATCTTCTTCAATAGGTCATGTACAAATATGCAGTCTGTTGTATCTTGTTCAATAGAAATGTACAGATTTGCAATCTCTTGTATCTTGTTCAACAGGACATGTACAAATATGCAGTACGACACCACACACATCCTGCAAGCACTATCATCAGGAACAAACAGAATCTGACGCCATTAACCTTGGCCTGTCAACTAGGCAGGCACTCTATATTTAAGGAAATGCTGGATATAGAGAGCATTGTAAGTAGTCAGAGATCTCCTTTCTTCATATTTATCCTTTTGCTTCAGCTTTCATGTTGCCCACCAGCATCATAGTCATAAGTTTGAGGTTTGAACAACACACCAACATCGATGCACACAGGTAGTAACCCATAAGTGCTCTGTTCTTCTTCTAACTCAAGTCTGAGTTTGAAGAAAGATGGCACAGTGCACAGGCTCTGTAGCACTGGCAAGGATCCTGAAATACTTTGGGTAGATTTTTAACTCCAAACTTTGCCCAGGCAAATCCGCTAGGCTACTCTTTTAGATTTCTAACTACCAAGGTATTTTTTAACGTGTGAAACAATGCACATGGGCATCCGATCTCACTACCCAGAGACCAGGGGGAATTACTAGAAGTCCAAGTCCACGTGAAAAAAATCCTAGCCCTTACCGAGAATTGAACCCAGAACATCTAGCACTCGGGGCTGACACTATGCCTCAAGACCACGCTGCCCCTTAGTGATAAGTTTGAGTCTCCATATATGTGGATTGTCTAAACTTATCTTGGTTTATAGCTCCAGCCTGTCTACAAGAGATTCTTTCTTCTTCTTTATTTTGTGTTTGCTAACTGGCTGTAAACTATGGCGGAAAGTTCTAGTTGTTCTTTCGCTTCTGGACTTTGATCTGTTGCAGAACTTTTGCATGCACATTCATTTTACAGGTTTGGCTTATTACAGTGCAGACTGTTGGTTCCTCACCTCTCCGGCAGAGGCATTCCAACTTCGAAGGAAGGAAGGGGTTTCAAGAAATGCAGTAAAGATGTTCTAACAATATGTGGATTAGTGCCACATATCCAGTGTGCCTCAGTGTGGTTTATACAACAGACCAACATCATGGCACTAGGGTAGTAACCCATCAGTGCTCTGTTTTACATTTAACTCGAACCTGAGTCAGAATATTCTCAGTGCATTGCATGAACTCCGCAGCACCAGCGAGGATCTTGAAATACTTTTGGTAGATTTGTAACTCAAAATTTTTGTATGAGTAGACTAATTATAGACTTTCTTCAAAGTCGGAACGCATCTGCCCGAGAGGCAAAAAAAAAAAAAACAACCAACTGCACACAAGTAAGCCAGTAAAACAGATGCACCTGTAAAACTCAGGCCCTGTCAGAAAGCTAAAGTCCAAATAAATGAACAGCTTGGTCTTTCTGCCAGAGCTTACAGTTGGTGAACAGAGAAGAAAAAGAATGTGATGAAACATAAAAAAATTGAACTGGAAAATATTGTCTTGTATAAATGTTATTGTTGAATTATATTCTTTCAGGAGTTCTGGAGATTTAGTACCACTATGTGTTCAGCTCATCCGCTTCGAACCCTGGACTCTATAGGACCAGATGGCAGCACCAGTAAGCCTATTCAACATTTCTTGTGTTCTAATATGTCTATTTAGATGAGAAAGCATTCAAAAGGACTAAATAGAGCCAATCCTTTTGTATGTAAGTTATTGCAGCCTATCTGCAAACCACAACAAACTGTGGCAACCACCATTTTAAAAATCTTGGAATGTGAGTAAACAAATTAAAAAGATTTTGGAGGTAACCCAGATGTGGCTATTGAGAATAATGTTGCGAATACTTTGGACTGCTAGAATAACTAACAATGGTTGCCTGGAAATGGCTAATGAAAGTAGAGAATTATATACAAGAATGAGAAGGAGACAAAGTTCTTTGGTCATATAATGAGAAAATGAGCCCTGGTAAATATCATGATGACTGGAATGTTCACTGGTAGAAGACGCAGAGGCAGACTGAAAGAAATGATGGTGGAAGACAGTGGCATGGAGGAATATCATCAGTGGAATTGATCCAGAACACCAAAGACCGGCATCAGTGGAGATTCATGAACACCTATGTCAGCTGGTAAAGCACTTGATAATGACCATTTTAAAGACAAATGCAGAAAAAGGATGGGAAGAAGATGTGGAAGTTAATCATGAACATTTAGCAGAATCATCATCATTAAGTGCCTAGCCGACTGGTGTGGGCAATCATGCCTCTCCACAATCTGCGATCTCCAACAGCATAAATCAGTTTGTGTGCTGACACCCCTCCATGTCATGACAAAAGACTGTCAAGAATCCTTCGTGTTGTCTTCCTCTGTCTCTTTTTGCACAGATCTCTCCTATGGTCACAACATGTTCTAATGTCCTTCTTCTCATAACCTGATCAAAAGTGATGACCGTATTTTTCTGATATTTGTAAGAAGTTGTATTTGAGGCCTCTTTCACAACATCTGGGGTGCTCATTCGGGCTGTCCAAGGAATTCCATGCTTAGTTAGTTATCAGATGATCATTCTCATCGCACATTGGACAAGTCCAGTAGCACTCAGATCCCATTTTTACTATCTCCCTAGCATATTCTTTGACTACTAGTATAGTGTCTTTTCAGGCAACACCTCTTTCAATATGAAGTTTTGTGGTATATTAATATCCTACCCCAAAAAGGAGAAATCCACAGGTCATGGGACAGTCTGATATTTCAAATGGGTGGTAGATAGGCTGCATGCATTCCTGGGACCTAGGCTGCACTTTCTCGTGAGACATAGGTGGGTTGGTGTTAGGGCCAGTTCTAAATGTTTAGGGCTCGTTAAAAGCATTAAAAAAACCTGGAAACCCAGTCTTAACACCCTCTAAAATGTTGGACTGTCCTGTGACGTCATCTGGGGTAGGATATTAATAAAGAACCTGAAGTTCTTGAAGTCTTTGTCAGAATTACCAGTCCACCGTCCTCACCTGAATCATCTACCTATCCTGCCTCCCTGAAAACATTGGCTCTGCTTATTGCTTTTCCTGTGCCTTCTATGGCCCGGCCAACAAGCCAGTCTGCTTATTCATTCCTTTTACTCCAGAGTGTCCTTACACAAAAATAAAACTTCTATGGAGCAGAGAAGAATCCGGAATTGATCAAGAGAGGTGTTGGATAGTTGACCATCATGGCATGAAAGAACATTTGAATTAGAAATGGCTGGCAATACATGATTAGATTACGTGTGATAGATATCATTGACATTACGTGAAGACTGTGGACAGACAATATGATCACCCTTTTTGTCCCAATAACTAAAAAAGTAGTTCATGACACCGTGGAAATTCTCGAAAGAAATCCTTGAAAATATTCATTTTACACAGGTCAGTAATACATTAAAAAAAAATTATTTCTGTGCATTTCTTATTTTTTTGTTTTTTTGTTTTTAAATATGGGAAGATAAAAAGGGTAATCAATAAATATGAACAGAGTAAAGCATTAAATGGAATATATATTCCCCGGGTCTAAAAATATATGGATCAGGTGACTCATGTCATGATAAAGTCATCTGTGTCACTGAGGCTTATGAAAAATGCGGCTTCAACCTGGTTTTTAAAAAAAAATTTATCCTAAATGCTGTTTTTTAGTTAATATTTTCACATCCTGGCCTCGTAAACATTTGCGCAGGCATCAACACAGCCAGTAGCAATAACTGTACATCTCATACCAGTTGGAGCGGCGAGAAAGAAAACCCATGCAGAAGCCACCGGTCGTTATATCAGCCAGAACAGTATGGGAGTTGTTAGCCTAAAACGACTTGGAGACATACTCAGGAGGGGATGTAGCACTTATGGTCATGTCTGATGTGCAGTGAAGATGATCTCAAAAGTGAACAATGTACATCTGGTAAACATGCCACTATAGGTTGTGTATCCTTTACGGGACGTTGCAGAACCAACCCCAACAGCCCCTAGCTGTTGTGTGGTTTTTCTAGGCAAATTTACGTCCAGTAGTTTGCCATTGCTTTCTGGACGGTCGGCTTTCTTGATACCACTGTCAAAACCAATGCAAGGTGCATGGCCCACAGCTGGGATAGAACCCGGTATCCCGGCATTACGAAGCGTTCGCATAAAACTTAGCCACAGAGCCGGCAAACTGGAAAAATGACATTTGCAGGAAGTTGGCTCTGACTGAAAGTGTCAGTTTTGTTGCTTATCAAGGTAACAGGTAACAGGTTAAGTCAGGAGAAATGAACCAGCGTCATTGCACATGGTTATAAACCATAAGTGCTCTGCCACCAGTACGGACAGCTAATACTTTGCCTGTGTCACCGTCCGCACACAACACCATAGCTATAGCGACGTTCCTCCATTTACCCCAGAGCATTAACTCTGGTACCCATTTCCTAGAGGCTGGGTGAACCCCGGAAACCGTCCGGTTTCGAACACGGAACGTGGGTTGCAGAGAGTCGCAGATGGATTTGCAAGCAAGTCTCCTATTGACTGTGCTAACATGGCCCCCTTATCATGGTAACAGCTTTAATGTTACATGGCTTATGCTATCAGAAGTAGATGTTTTTATATGTACTATTGTTTTAGACTATTAGAAGTGAAATGTATTTATATGTACTATTGTTTTAGACTGGGACTCAGCACTGATGATCATTGTCAATGGAGATACCGATGGCCATCTAGAGATGCTGGAAGGTGGGGTGATGAGGCAGCTGTTGATAGAGAAATGGAAAACATTTGCTCAGGTTAGTATTCGTTCAGTCACAGTCTTTGCTCTTCTACTTCTTTTTTCAGCATTCTGAGCTCTTGAGGTTCATTTCTGCAGATATCACTGCCCTTGAGGTTCATTGCTGCAGATATCACTACCCTTGAGGTTCCTTGCTGCAGATATCACTGCCCTTGAGGTTCATTGCTGCATATGTCACTGCCCTTGAGGTTCATTGCCGCAGATATCACCGCTTTTAGGGTTCAGAGGTTCGTTGCTGCAGATGTCACTGCCCTTCAGGTTCATTGTTGCAGATATCACCCACCTCCATTTATCTTTGTGACTAGTCTTCTCTTTTTAGTTGGTAACACCAAGTGTTTATAGGGCCTGGTCTTTATATCTCCATCGTCTTCTTGATCTGCCTCATGGTCTACGACCAATCAATGCCTGTGTTTTTACCTCTTTGTCATTCTCTCACTATGCCCCTTCCATTTCAGTCTACTAGATCTCATTGTGCCAGTAATCAATGCTGGTTTAAACAGATTATGAATTTTGTTGGCATTTCATTTGATTTTCTCTGTCATAGAAATAGAGCAAGTACGGGGTGACCCTATTGCAGTGAAGCTGAAATCTCAACTAAGACTAAGACTGAATTTTTTTGTTGCTTCTCACTTTCCATACCCCACTGTTTGCGTCTTTGATGAGTCCACAGATTTGTCCTAAGATGTTTTTAAAAATTAATTCATCTAATTTGGGAGTCAACGTGGCAGAGCGGCTAGACGCGCACCTCGGATCGGAAGGTCATGGGTTTGCTTCCTGGCGGAGCCAGACCTCTCTTCAGAAATGGCCTTGGCTCCCAGGTCGACCCAGCCTTGAGTGGGTACCGGGTGCAGTCCCGGGAAGTAGAGCAGGCCGGCGTGATACTGACCACATCACCCATCTTGTGCCGTTGGTCTATAAAATATAGGTCTGGCCCTATGTGCCTAAAGGCGTGGAAAAGGTTCCTTCACTTACTTACTTTATCTAATTTGGTTGTGCTTCAGTTTCGGAGTCATAGGAGAAATTTTTTAAAAGATCCCAGTATAACTGTTATACTTTTACTTAATATTATTATTTTCAGAGCTGGTTTCTGATTCGCCTTATGTTGGCAACCATCCACCTTGTATTGTTCAGCATTTCTATCTACACCCGACCAATGGGAGAAGCTTTGATTGGCTTCAGAGGGCCTATAGACACAGTGAGATTTGTACACACTTTTTGTTTTAATAGTCAGTGACCTTTATACACAAAACTTTTGTTTATTAATGTGCACATTTCATAAATAGCATGTATTTTTTATTTTTTATTCCGATTTTCTTCTTCTGCTTCTTTGCATTCAGTTTCGAATGCTCACATAAGACCATCAGGCAGGTTGCCTCTATGAAGTTGCATGTCAGTAACAGGTCCTTCATGGTACCCCATAGCTTGTTCTGCAAACTTTGCTCTTGAGGCCAGATATCTTTTCGTAGTTGTATGTAGAATGGGCAGGTCTGCAGAATGTGCTCAGGTGTTTGTGGTTCTGTTTGACAGGCACACTGTTGGGACTGTACAATCTTAATTTTTTACAAAGAAGAAGAAGAAAAAAATTCTAATTTGATCATGTTTTCTGCCTAATTTTTTTCATAGTAGGCCTACATTCTGTAGGTGCTTCATTTTTTTAAATTTATGTTGCACTTTCCTGCTACCTAATTCCTTAAAACTGATGCATCTAGTCCTATGTGAAGGCCTATTTCCACATTTAAAGCTGTATTAATAAAGACTATGTAGTATCTGAAGTTAAAACCGATTAAATTTTAAGAAATATATATGCCTTTATTCTAAGTCTACATTACTCTGTTCACAAGTCTGGTGCCTTTGTGAGAGGAAAAGAGAGAAAAAGAGAGAGAAGAGGGTGAAAGAGGGAGAGAAAGAATAGAGTAAAAGGAAGACAGAGAAAGAAGCAAGTGAGAGGGAGGGAGAGAAAGAAGAGAGTGAGAGGTAGAGAAAGAGAGAGAAAGAAGTATAGCAAATGAAGCCATCTGTGCCAGCTCCTCCCCGTGTGGGTTCCGGGGTCCCATTGTGGAGAAAGAAAAAAAATAGAATAGACTCACTGCCACTCCATAAAGCATGTCATAAGATTCGACTAATTGGGAGCTTCCTTCAAAGTTGTAGTGCATCTGCCGGAGCGGCTAGGAACAATTCCAATTCCTTTTAAGAAAAAAGAAAAAAAGAAAAAACAACCACTTTCAACCTGCTGCTAGCTAAATAAAGCTGCCTACAGTTTCTGGCTATATTTGTGGTCTTGTTTATTTGCGATACACTAAAGTTCTGGTATTTGGACTGTCTCTGGGCTTAATGCTTCTTTCCTCCAAGTCAGACTGCACATTCCCTATTCTGTTGTTAACTGTCTTCTTCTTCTTGCTCTTTCATTTCTGATGTTTCCTCCTTGGTTTCAGCTCCTTCTGATTTGGCCAGGAGTATTTCGTAGGAGAGCGAGCTTTTCAAATCCTTGCCACCAATTGCACACAAATAAGCCAGTAAAACGGATGTACAACCAAACTTAGACCCTGGCACTAATCCAAAGTCAAAATGTACGAACAGCCAGGACTCTCCACTAGAGCTTGCGGCTGGTGAACAAAGAAGAAAAAAAGATAACCAACTAATTGCTCATGGGAACAATCAGTAGAAGTAACTTGAAAATGCTGCTATGTCAGAGAGCTGTGAGGGTGATTGTGACATAATTCAGTCACTTTGTTTTTACATTTTGTATCTCATTTCATTGCTGTTTTTTATCTTTTATTTTTAATCTGTTGTATAACATATTTTATTAATTTCACAGGTGAGGTATACTTCAGAAGTATTAGTGTGTTTAAGCTGCCTTGCCACAATATTGTACAAGATTCAAGAATTTTGCATGAGAGGTGGAACTACTGTGTTTAAGAATTGTGTAAGTACTGAGAAATTTCATTTCAACTTTTTGTTTTGTTTTTTGTAATAGATAATTTGTAGAGTTGAGTTGAGTCAAGAATTAACATCACAGCACTCAGGGCATTCCCATGTGTGCTCTGTCCTCATTTTTCAGCAGCCAGGGCAGAGTTCCAATACTGATGGTATCGGTCGCAATCTGGTTAAAAGTCCATCTTGCCTTTCCTCTGAGTGAAGTGAGCTGGCCAGACCCTCTTGTTACACCCAGGTGCCTCATTCTCTCCAGGCCATGATAATCTTTTTTCTCTACTGATTGTGTTACTTGTTCCCAAAGGGCCTTCACCACATCTGCCTTGTAGGTCATTTGCAATATGCAACCAACTTTTTCCTGAGAATCCAATCCATATTTTAATTTGTTCTTTTGTATTTTACATTTGTTCATTGTTTTACAAAATAAAAACTGTAGCTTCCACTGTGTATCTATCTATTTTAGCACAAAACTTAGCAAGTCAAATGGTTACAGCCAAGGAACTTACACATACACACACACACAAATTATATTGGATGAAACTATGTTGAAAGCAGTCAAAACATTTTCATAGTAGCTATTCTTCTACTTGTAAAATTGTCTGACTAAAAACCTCAAGATTTTTCACTCTTAGGTAACTGTTAATTTAATAATGTCTGTCTCAAAGTTTGTATACATTAGAGTAGCAGTATTTGAGTCTGAAGGAGATCAAATTATTACAACTATGAAGAAGACGGAGGAGGAAGAGAAGAAGAAGGAGAAAAAGAAGAAGGAAAAGAAGAAGAATCATCAGCAGCAGTAGTAGGAGAAGAACAACAACAACAAAGAAGGAAGAAGTGGAAGGAGAAGAAAGGAAAAGGGCATGGGGAGGGGGAGTAGACCCTATGCCCCTTAGCAAGCATTTTGTCAAAGGCCTTTAACACAGAACTTGCTGGAATCGGAACTGTTGGGCCAAAAAGCACAAATGTCACAGCCTAGGTGTAAATCAAAACACATGTACCAGCCACTCATTTAAGAGCGAGCAAAGAAGAAAAAGAAACAAAGTTTTTAGCAACAGCAACAAACACAGCATGAATCCTACACCACAACAGCAAACAAGAAAATTACACAGGGACACTCAGCAGAAAACAAATACAAACAGGGCTTGTGATACACAGAGAGTTAACTCTTTCTGCCCCAAACAATCCATCCAGTCATCTGTGAAAAACAAAACAAAAAATCGACCATGTTCAACCTACTGCGAGCAGTATCCATTATAACTGTGGTCTGGTTTCTTTGTGCCAATTGTGTTGGCTAAGAAATGTTAATTGTACCAAAACTAGTGACTTGGACCGGTACTCTAGTACCTAGTGAAGGCTGTTGGGGAGGGGGCTGGTAAACACTATACACACCCACACACATATAGACATGCACCTACAATTACATATATATACATAACATACACATTTGCAGGCCCACATGGGAATGCAAACTTGTGTGCTTGCATAAACAATAGGTGATAAAATCTTATGTGAATCCCAAAGACATGTAATATGGTGTTGTACTTTTTTACATTTGACCAACGCATACTATAAACATTTGGTGTCCGCAGAATTAATTTTTTGAAAGTAAAACACTTATTGCTTATCCTGTTGGTATTTTACGCACATAGGCATTTTCGGCAAAACCATTTTGTACTCAAAGAGTTAATGCATCTATCAAGGTGGGTGAGAAACAGACAGCAACGAAATAATGAAACATTGTACAAGAGCCCACCATAAAAATCGCAGCAGATTACTATTGATTTCATGCTGGCAGTTGGGTGTGCACTGTTAGGGCAGACGTGACCTTCAGGAGATTAATGAGTCTTTGATAACAAGAATTTGGACTCCTAGCTGCCGTATACTGCTGCTGTTGTTTTTGCACTTGAGAATTCCTTATTTTATTTTGGAACTGGGGTTAGTATTGATTGGTTAGGTTTTCCCTGAGTGTTACCAGCAGGACAAGTTCTTAACAAAATGTTGTCATTTGATTTTTTTTTTCCTACAATATTCCTCTGCCTTTGTGCTCACCTTTAGTTTTCTTCTTCACCTCCTCCTCTTTTGGCTCCTCCTGTTCTTCCTTCTTCTTCTTCTTCTTCTTCCTCCTCCTCCTCCTCTTCCATCTTCTTTTTCTTCACCTGCGTTTTAACATTTTTAAATATTAATATTTTATTCTCCTTCTCCTCCCCTCATCCTTTTGTATTTTTATTTGTCATTTTCTTCTGTTCTCCATTTTCTGTTTTTAAACAACAGCTTAGTTTTCATAGTATGTCTTTTGCTTAATATAACTATCATAGATTATAATGATAATCATCATCATTATCATCAATTTCCACTTCTGCTGTTAAGCTATGTGGGGAGCAACAGTTTGTGATTCGTTTGTTGCTAGGTGGACAACAATAGATATTGTCATTCCATTTCTATGTAGAAGCTCTTTAATGTCATCAGTTGATATTCTCCTAACGTGACGTCCCGCTTCCTTATTAGAACTTTCCATGTGTAGAGCCTGTCTTGGTAGTTGTTCTGGTCACATTCTTAAGAGATAACCAAATCATTTGATCTTGTTTCTCAGTGAATTTGCTGCATGGTGTTGTTCCTATAGTCTGTGTGATAATATTATTTCTTACTTTGTCTCATATAGTTAAGTTAGTTGCTTTTTTTCATGCCTCCCATCTTACAGGTGTAAATTTTACATAGGTTAGCTATTGATAATGTCCAAGTCTGGCACTGGTAGCACAGTATTTGTGTGGGTAGGTTGTTTATAATCTGTTTCTTGGTGCTCATACTTATGTTTGGATGTTTTAATAACAGGGTCAGTTTATATATAAGTGCACCGGCTCGTTGGTATCGTGTTTCTAACTCCCGATCTTTTTCTCCCATCCTCCGAAAATGTACTATGTATTTAAATTCTTTATTTTTTATTTGGGCATGTTGAACTTAACTTATTCACTTGGTTTTGCAGTCTACTCTCCTTATCATAGAATAGGCACTGATTTTCTGCAAATAGTAGCACGTTTTCTGTTTATTCATTGATGACAGAGGTATCTAAATATTATGAGAAAGTAGAGTTGTTAGAAGGACCATATGTAAGATGGCCACGCATGCCATATTTTTACGTCTGAAAAATAAAGTTTCTCCACTTTTTCTTCTTCTTTTCCTCCTACATTTCCTTCATGTCCTTCTTTTTCTTCTTTATCTTGTTCTTCTTTCTTCTTCTTCTGCTTCATTTTCTCCCCCTTCACCTCTTCTTTCTTTGTTACCACCATCTTTGCCTTCATCTCATTCTTTACAACTTGAAAAGTAAATCATGATGTCATTATCATCATCATCATCATCATGTGCCATGCCGGTAAGCATAGGCCGTCATATTTCGATACCTCACACAATCACCAGATTCCCGGATCAGTTCAATGTTTTTGTCACAGCCCATCCATCTGGCCAAGCCATCCAGATATTTTCCTATTTGCCTTCCTCTTGCTCTCTTTCCATCAATCTTGCCTGTTGTTACCAAGCTCTTGAGTCCATTCTCACTCATAATGTGTATACATAATGTCTTTAAAAAAAAATAAATAGGAGCAAGTAACGAACTCAGGCCCAGCTCCGCCCAGCTACACACTTATGAGTGATGAAGTCTGGTCAGGACACGATGGTTCATTCATGCATGTTAACCTCTGAGATGCGTAAGTTTAAGTGGCAGGGATGTAAGGCTGGTGCGACGTTGTATTGTCTCGAAGGTCTTACCAGCGACCACACATGCTCGATATTATAGGATGTGACAGTTAGTGTTTAAAAGAAAAAAACGGCCCCATAACATGTACAACTGGCCCTAACCACCACCCCTCCGCCTACCTCACACACTGAACCTAGGTCCCACGAGAGAGGGCATTCTACACCCCTCTAACATAGACCAGCCTCCCTCTAACATAGACCAGCCTGACCAATCATCATTGACAGGTCAGCTAGTGTGTAGCTGGGCCTGAGTTCATTACTAATTTTAAATAAAACATCAGATTGAAACGAGCAAGATGTTGGGGGGGGGGGGGGGGAGGGAGTGGATAAGCAAGCCCTAGTCTTCAGCATTGTAGATGATGACTGCTCTACCATACAAGCCACATTGTTTATACTTGCCTGAATAACTGCTTTGTATTTGATTTCTGTCTTCAACAGGCTCATTCTCCAGCCCACACAATGTATATAATGTCCTGCTTGCTTACCTTAGCATGCATTCCCTTTCGCTACGCAGGACAATACGACGTCGAGGACATTCTACTTATAGTTGCGGCACCTTGTGGTTGGTCCTTCTTCCTCTTTTTTGCCAGGTAAATTTCATGTTCACAGTTGGGTGGTGACTTAGGGAGATATTTAACTAACTGGTCATCATATGATGCTCTTCCTCTTCATTCCTGTAACCTCCGATGTGGGTTTTTGGAGGGCTGCAATGGATGTGTGCAAGCATTAGGATCTTCCATTGGATAAGCTAAATGTAAGATGAGTCTGCATTATCAATTTGTGACCTTCTTTCACACGGTAATTGGCTTCTCTGCAGGTAAATTTCCAGTTCCATTTACAATCAATTAACTGGAACTGGATTGTAACTGACTCAGAAAGCATAATGAGGAAGATCAGAACAGGTATGCTTCGCTGTGGAGGACACGGGTGAGGAGTATTGTCTGGCATTTTTCACCAGGGAAGGCCGGTGTGTTGGGAAATGAACAGGCGGACAGACTGGCTGGCTCTGCACAACTTGGTGGAATACTGATACATGATAAGGCAGACGTGGTTAGTGCCTTATGGGAGAGCGTGTACAGTTTGGAGGAGCTGATGGATCACCACAGTCTGGTGAGATTGATGCAGGGGGGAGTGATGAGAGGTTTTGGCAGATGCTCAGAGGAAAGGCAAGACGGACGTTTAATCAGAATGCTACTGGAACCATTAGTATCGGAACTCTTCGCTGGCTGCTGAAGATGGGGACAGAGCACTTATGGGAATGCCCCGAGTGCTGTGATGTCGGTTCCTGAATCAAATCAAATCAGTTCGAGTTTTAAAAATCCTGCTGGTTTAGAGCTTGGAGAGGGGAAACAGAAATAGATCCCCATAGAGATGGTTCTTTGGTTCTAGGCAGGAAGGAAGTCTTTTTACCAAAACTCACTCCAGTAGATACAGACTCATTTGAAGGTTCAAACAACCTGAACATCAGCTCCTCACAGTTCCAGAGGATTCACTCCAGCAAACAAATCTGTAATGGACGAAGACATAGAGGTTGGCCTCTACTATGATATAAACATGTGTGCTAGGAAAACATGAATGATACAGGTATTGAGGTGGATGCCTTGGATCATGTTACTTGGTGGGAGAAATCAGTAATTATGGATACATGAGAAAATTGTTTTAAAAAGGCTCTAATTGTAAAAATCTTCATTTGGGGGGGGGGGGGTATCATGAGTGGGTATGGCTAGTCATGCTTGCCATCGTCTTCTTCTTCTTTTCTCTCTCCTAGAATGCCTCGCAGTGTCAGGGCAGGAAGGGATCTCTGGAAAATAAGAATAGACCCACTGCCTCCCCAACAGGCATAAGAGTTGACTAACTGGGAGCTGCCTTCAAAGTCAGAGAGCATTGGCTGGAGAGGCAAGGAACCAACAGTCTGCATACAAATAAAACGGATGCACATACAAAACTTAGGTCCTGGAACAAAGCCAAAGTCCAGAAATGGAGGAACAACCAGGAATTTCCACCAGGGTTTCCAGCCGGTGAATGCAAAACACAAACAACAGTCCGGACATGTAATTGACAAGGACAGTGCTTTCCATTTAATGTATCACACACCTAACAGGCACATTTTGAGAATGACTGTAGCTTTTTTTTTTAAAACTGTGTAATTCTTTTTTATGTAGGCAGAAAGAGTTAATTATCTATTTGAAGTTACTGTGGTAAATTACTTGACTATAGTAAACTTCCAGCGATTTGACAATAATGAATTGCCTTTTTCGTATTTTGTATTTCAGTTAAATTTTTATGCTTCATTTTATATATATATATCTTGATATAACTGCAGTAACTTACCTGACCAGATGCAGCGAAATATGCCCAGCAATAAATTGTGCAATGTACTTTTTATATCCACATGGTTTAAATTCATTATGGCCCGGCTCTCTAGGGTAGTTGGTTAAACCTGACTTCGCAGTGACCTGGTGATGAACTTCTTGTGGTCCGGGTTCACTCCCGGGGATAGGCAGAAAAGCTACATTTCTCCCTGATTTACGGTACCTATCATGGAATCAAGGCTGTACCGAGCCAAAGGGTTAACAACTCATCATTTCTGGATATTTAAAAAACAAAAAATTATTATGAGAAAACGTTTTTGTGAATATTTTTTCGCCAAGTCACTTCCATTGCAGCCAGTGGGGAAACCTATCAGTCCTTTGCATACTGTATTTTCATACCTTAGCTGTCTCCCGTATCATATGTCCACCTTCATATTGATCAGCTGCTGTTCGTTCTTCTAAGAACCTTGTCCTCCATAACTGTTTTTTATAATTATTGCAGCATGTAATTTCTTTTTTCAAAGTAAACACTCACTGATGCGTTTTCTATCAAAGCACATAGGGCTGGAGAAATAGAGACTTTCAGGCGTGACATAAATAGAGTCACATTATGTAAATTACCTCATCATCATCAAGTGTCTAGCCGCCTGGCTTCTCCACAATCTGAGTGTATCAGTTCATGTGTTGACACCTCTCCATGCCATGAAAAAAAAAAGGTTGTCAAGAATCTTCTCACACTGTCTTTTTCTGTCTCTCTTTGCACAAATCTTTCCAGTGGTCACAACATGTTCTGGTTTCCCTCTTCTCATAACATGACCCCCCCCCCCTTCCTGTTTCTTTCTGATGTTTGTGATAAGTTCTCTTCATGCCCTCACCTTTTTCAAAACATCTAGGTTGCTTTTCTTAGCTGTCAAAGGAATTCTAAGGGTTGTTCTGTAAAACAACATTTCCGAGACCTCAAGAAATTGTTCATCCTGTTTATTAATCATCCAGGATTCACAGCTGTGGGTTAAAACAGGCTATATATAGCACGCAAGAATTCTTTTGCAAAAATCCAGTGACATGATTTATTGCACAAATTGTTCTTCATTTTATAAAATGCAGTTTTGGCCTCTCTTTTTCTAAAAATAATGAGTTTAAGTTTCCAAGACATAATGCTGTTTGTCTTTATCATTTACTCTTTAAAGGGTGGTTGACGTGCTGTATTGTAGTTTACAGCTAGGCTGCAATATGTCTTTATCATTTACTCTTTAAAGGGTGGCTGAAGTGCTGTATTGGGATTTACAGCTAGGGCGCAACATATGTCTTTATCATTTACTTTGTAAAGGGTGGTTGACATGCTGTATGGGGGTTTATATCTAGGCTGCAATATCTGTCTTTATCATTTGCCCTTTAAAGGGTGGTTGACGTGCTGTATTGTAGTTTACAGCTAGGCTGCAACATCTGTCTGTATCATTTGGCCTTTAAAGGGTGGTTGACATGCTGTATTGAAGTTTATATCCTCTGCCCATCTTCATGCTGGTTGGCCCCAGCCCCTCCTACCTGGTACTGTGCCTTCTTCTATTATTTTTTTCCAATCCGTTGTGGCACTTGATATGGCCAAAATGTTTCAAATTCTGAGACAAGATGCTGTTTATTAGCCAATCTTCTTTGATGTTAACATCTGTTAGAATGTCAGTTTTTCTTCTGTTCTTCCTCCATGGTAATCTGAGAATAACTCTACACAAATGTATTTTTCAGGGGCTATAATCTGACAGGCCCCTTTGTCACAATGATATATAAAATGATCAGTGGAGACCTGTTGTGTTTTGGCATCATCTACATCATTTTCCTTTCTGGGTTTACACAAGGTACGTGCATTTTAAGTGTCTGAGTTGCTATTAGATCGGACAAGCTGAAAAACATTTATTCGCAGTGGAGTTGGGGTTTTTGAGAAGAATACAATGAGTATCATTTAGAGATAGAAAAACAAATGAGGCAGTTCTCATTGAGGCAGAAGAAAGTTGTAAAGTGATTAGGAAAGTTAAACAAAGACAGTCAGTGTTTTTGGACATGTTATGAGAAGGAATGGACTCGAAAGCTTCATAACAACTGACAAGATTGGGAGAAAAAGAGTAAGAGAAAGGCAAAGATAAATATCTGGATGGTTTAGCCATTTGATGGGGAAAGACGAGAACACTGACCTGGTTCATAGCTCTGGGATCATGTGGGATAGTGAAACATGACAGCATTAGCTTATCCACATGAGAAATCTTCTTCTGCTTTCATCCAAAGATATAACTGTGTTGTGCCTATTTACAACATGGCTGCGATATTTGCACCTTTCGGCCAGCACATCCGACTTCTGCAGGCATTCCCTGTTAGTTTCATGAGACATTGCAGTCTCATTGTTGTGTGGTCATCTTTGTTTCCTATTTCACAGCTGGTGCCCCACATCAGGCCGGTCCAGAGAAGCCATGTAATAGTGGTCAGCCCTCAAGAGATGGGTGCTCTTCCCATATGCCTGACGCACCTAAAAGGCATGAACCGGGATCTTTACTTTTTAATATTATGTCTTTAGAAGCCTGCAGTAGTCAGCCTGCAGACCTGCGATTTTGATTGCCTACACAGAATGAGTACTTCACTTCTTTTGCATGTTAGACTTTTACTGCAGTGGACTTCCTCGTCCACTATAGTTTTATACAGCATTTCCAACATAGATGCCACGGGGCATCCTGTATGGTAGTAAACGGACAGAAAAGTCTGTTTCCTTTTCTTATGTTTTTTTAGCTCTGCATCTCTTTTGACTGTCTACTCTGAGAATCCCTGTCAGTTTTCTTCTTATACCTTCAGGCGTAAATGTGAATGTATTTAAAGAAATCAGCAGTCAGCTTGAGGTTATTGACATCTCCACAGAGTTTGTCCTCAAAGAGAGCGGGTGTTAGCCAGAATAATTGTTTCTGTTTTGCATATGTTTTACACTCTTGCAGCAAGTGTTTAGCCTTCAGTTTACCCTTTCCACAGTTATAATCATCAGTGTCTCCTGTCTTCAGTTTATTGAACAAGTAGTGTTTCATCCTATTATGTCCTGTGCGGAGTCTGAAGATCACTACTTGTTCTCTTCGGCCAAGTTGGTAGTATGCATCATCCTTCTTGTGGCCTGCATGTTCAGAATCCCATTTGGTACTTTAGGTACTTCTTATAGACCTCTTTGACTTCTTATAGACCTCTATATTATGTCTAAATCAGGCTGGGGTAGTCTTCCACCTTCCTTTGCCAGTCTCTCAGTCTCTTCATTTCCAGATATGCTGCAATGAGATGGTCTCCATCGTACTACCACTCTTTTTTATTTCCGTCTCAATCCATGGAGTGCAGCTCTAAGGTCTGTATTGTTTTTGCTCTTCAGTTTTGTGTCAACTGACTTCGCATCTGTGAAGATAGCTATCTCTGTGAAGATAGCTATCTCTGTGAAGATAGCTATATCTCTGAAGATAGCTATATCTGTGAAGATAGCTATATCTGTGAAGATAGCAATATCTGTGAAGATAGCTATATCTGTGAAGATAGCTATATCTGTGAAGATAGCTATATCTGTGAAGATAGCTATATCTGTGATGATAGCAATATCTGTGAAGATAGCAATATCTGTGAAGATAGCTATATCTGTGAAGATAGCTATATCTGTGAAGATAGCTATATCTGTGAAGATAGCAATATCTGTGAAGATAGCAATATCTGTGAAGATAGCAATATCTGTGAAGATAGCTATATCTGTGAAGATAGCTATATTTGTGAAGATAGCTATATCTGTGAAGATAGCTCTATCTGTGAAGATAGCTATGTGTGTGAAGATAGCTATATCTGTGAAGATAGCTATACCTGTAAAGATAGCTATATCTGTGAAGATAGCTATATCTGTGAAGATAGCTATATGTTTCTCTTTATTTTTCTCCTGACAGAAGCATTTCTGCTGCAGTTCTTAAGGCCTCTGCCCCTGCTCTAAAATTACTTGAGAATTTTCAGGTTACAACTGACTGCGTTTTCTTTAATCCATTTTTCAGATTCAGGACAATCCCCCTCCTTCATTTTTTTTTTTTTTTTCTGATCCATCTGTAAATGCATGGGTCCAGGTGTTACTTGGGTATTGTTCTTCTATATAGTTTAACGTGATTGTCCTTCTTTCTGTTTCATTCTAAGTGTTCTTTTTCTCAATACCAGGAATATTTTCTATCAACTCAGAGAGGTGCTGCTGTCTCCAAGCAGGGAGCCTGTGTGTAATGTGGATGGGTTTTGATGTTGATAAGTTAAGAATAGGATCTTCCCTATCTTAGTTTTTTGCAGACCATTGAAGCTCTGATACATGGTGTGATCTGTCAGCCTTCTAAATTGTTATGCTTGTTGCCGGGCTCTGCTGTCTCTCATAGCCTCCATTGATTGCAGATTTATAATCTTTTCTAGTTCATTATTGGGTGTTTTTTTTTTTCATGGCTCCAGTAATAATCCTCATTCTTTGGTTTTAAACTCTACTTATTTTGATAAAGTTTGACTTAGCTGCTGTTGCCCAGGCAACAACGGTATTCAAGGACTGGCCTTTCTTATCCAGTGTATACCTTCTGGAAAACTTTCTCATCAGCTCCCCATGTTGTACCAGCAAGCTTTTTCATGACTGCCATTCTTTGCCTTGCTCTTATTTGACTCACCTCTGCCTATGCTACCTATGTTTTCCATGTCAGGTGGCAATCAAATGTGACACCTGAGTATTTTGAATTGTTCTCTTGATGCAGTATTTTTCCATTCAGCACTAGCTTGACTGGCTGTTTTTTTATTTGAAAGGGAGAACACAGTGCATGCTGTTTTCTCTTCACTGGGTCCATTTCTTTGATTCACTTATCTTGAGTCATTTTTAAAGCACTTTATACAGACTTCATTTATCTTGTTTCATAAATGAAATACTTTATATAGACTTCATTTATCGTGTTTCATAAATGTCAACGACCTACTTGTCTAGGGTCTAAATCTGTGGCTGCGCTGCAGGCCGGTGACAAATAAATCTGCTAAGAAACACACCAACCTGAAAGGCATGTGGAACACACACAGTCTTTAATATCAAAGAATACGAACTTATAGAGTTTGGATTCAGAAGCAGTAGTGACCCTTATTCTGTTACCAGGCCACTTTAGTTTTAAAATCCCTAGACGCGCCTTTACATGTTTCCTTAAATAAGCTCTGAGCTCTTACCACACTCCCGTGCAGCGCTGTTTCAGCTCGCTGTCTCCAGATGCCAAGGGTTCTGTAGCACACGCTACTGTTTGAGTGAGGGCTGGCGGTGTGTTGGTAGATGTGAGCGCCACAAAATATGCATGACCTTGTTTCCCTTAATGAGGTATCACTACTAAAAGGAGTCCAACTGCTATCGGGAATCTATCTGCTAGATGAGATCTAAGTGAAACAATTCCTACCTACACCTTGAAGTACTAACACACTTAGTCGAACACTGGACTGTACGAATCACAGCTAAAATTTAACACACGCCTTATTTCATTTCTACAGGTCGTTAACAATTTGTCAGTGGAATACTACAATCTAACTGTCGGTCAAACAACATCCTGGTCACACTGATTTCCTGTTAAACTGCCAGGGTGCGTTGAGTCGACACTTCGTGAAGTCCGCTGACACCTGGCAGGTCTAGTTCAGCTGACACGAATTTATCCTTGTTTTGGCTTGTCTACACTGGCCCTGAGTTTAGTTAGGGGTCACTATACACAGACCTTCTGATTCATCATCATCACGTTCCAAAATCCCATAACCGGGACGACCCCTGACAATAAATGAATTGCTTTATACAGTTTGATAAATGAAGCACAATATAGACTTCATTTATCTTGTTTCATAAATGGAATACTTTTTATAGACTACATTTATCTTGTTTTGCATATGAAACATTTTATACAGACTTTGTTTATCTTCTTTTATAAATAAAACAGTTTATATAAACTTGTTTTTACCTTTTTTCATAAATGAAACACTTTCTATAGACTTCATTTATCTTGTCTCCACTAACAACACAGTTGTTGACCACATCACCCACCAAGTGCCGATTGGTCTATAAAATAACAACCCACCAACTCATACTGGTGAACAGTTTACTTCCTAACAGTTTGGTGACACAGAAAAACTGGGTTATATAATTGAACAGAGTTTCAAGATTGACTTCTGTTTGATTCACACCCAGATAGGGATTTTTATTTCTTAGTCAATGGTTGCCAGTTTTTAGGACAATGGTGCTGGAAAGGAGTAATTTAAAAAAGCAAATAACTTGTTTTGATGCTCTTAACTATTGCTTCTTCATCTTTGCGTTCACCAGCTGTAAACTCTGGCAGAAAGTTCTAGTTGTTCATCCACTTCTGGACTGCAGTCCTGTTCCAGAACCTAAATGTTGGGTGTGCATTTGTTTTACAGATCTGACTCATTTGTATACAGACTGCTGGTTCCTTGCCTCTCAAGCAGATGCACTCTGACTTTGAAGGAAGCTCCCAATTAGTAGACTCTTACGACATACTTTTGGGTCGACAGTGGGTCTATTCTTGTTTTCTCTGTAACAGGGACCCAGAACTTAATGGAGAACTTAACTATTTAAATCACAGTAGGTTATCAGAGCAGATGTCCAGTACTGTGAAAAACGATGAGTGCATGACTTTTCAAAAATGTTAAATATGCATTAAAAGTGACCACTTAGGAGGAGATAATTTTAAATAGGATCCAGTCATTAGGTGTTCTTAGTGTGTGTCATGTGCAGCAACAGCATCTTTCTTGGTTCACTGGAATCAGTTTAACTCACTTCTAAAACTCCACATTAATTATTTTGTCAGGCCTTCATTCTATTCATTGCAAATTTATTTAAGAATGCTTTTAATTTATTATCAATTATTGAAGTCACTGTACATTTTCTGAACCCTACACCAGTACTCATTCGACATTAGAGTTGAATATTTTAAGATTGGAAAACACTTTTAGTTTAATAGTTTTTTTCTGTTTTTGTTTTTTGTGTGTTTTTCTGTAACAGATGTTCTAGTGTGCAATGAAAACTCATCTTGACTTCTTTATTCTTACTTGTTTATTACTGTCTTTTCCCTCGTATTTGCCTACTTTGCTGCCAGAAATATATATATGACTACACATGTTTAAATTTGATTTAATCAAGTGAGACTGAGTATTCATTTGATTTATTCTCATTAGCCTGGTCTCGGACTGTCTAACCCCTTGACCACGGTAATCGGCCTCCTTAGATCTCCATCGGTGCAGTAAAAATGATCACTCATACAATTAAATCTATCTTCTTCTTTTTATTCGTCCGAGTAATGTAATTGTGTTTTGCCTGTTTATACCAAAGCTATGATATTAGCGCCTTTCGGCCGGCTCATCCAACTTCAACGATCATTTGTTGACCGGGTTAACTTCCCAGCATTTAAAATTAAATTAGTTGTGTATCCTTTACAGGACGTTGCAGAACCAACCCCAGCACTTTCTGGCTGTTGTGGTTTTTCTAGGCAAATGAACATCCAGTAGTTTGCCATTGCTTTCTGGACGGCGACTCTAGGTACCACTTTCGAAACCAGCACAAGACAAACTGTCTGCAGCAGGGATCGAAACCGGCACCCCGGCATTACGAAGTGCGTTCGAAACGCCTAAGCCACAGAAGCCGACTTCCAGCATTTACATTTATTAAAACCAAGAGTTGACATAAGCCAAGATTTGTAAAATCTGTATTTCTCCCTTCTAGGTTTCTTCTTCTTGTTTCAAGGCGTGTCATCAAAAAGTGTTGATTCTGATTTGGCCAAATTTTCCAGTCTACCAGAAACAATACTAAGCTTGTTTCAAATGACCTTAGGAGAGTTCAAGGTAAAGTGTTTGTTGTTGTTGTCATTGCTGTTGTGGTTAAAAACGTTCTGTTTACTTATCTGTCATGTCTTAGAAGCAGTAGTATTTTGGCCAAATGAAATAAATACGGTAGTGGTTTATTGAAAACAGTAGTGGAAGGCATAGTTTCTAGCAGAAGAGATAGGCAGTTGATTAACACAAGGTAGACACAGAATACTATAGACAGATAAGTTCCAGTTGTATAATTTATTTATTTTTTGATGGGGCGGGGGTTACCTACAATGCGATAAAATTGCAACCTTTTCTTTATAACTACTTCTTGTATGCTAAAGTCACTTTGGTATGTCAGGGGTTAGCCTGGGGTTAATAAAGCGTGAGTGCATATTAATATTCATGGCATCTTGACATGGTGAAAACATGTGGCTTGGGATTCAGGGTAACTTGCAGACATGTCACCACGGTCCACTACAGATAATGTGAAATCTGTGTGGGGTGACAACAGGTGGGAGAACCTCATGGCAGTCTCAGTTAGTCTAAGAGTTTGGACATGTGGTGAATTGTGCGATTCCCATGGACACATGGACATTTGGTGAATTGTGCGATTCCCATGGACACATGGACATGTGGTGAATTGTGCGATTTCCATGGACACATGGACATTTGGTGAATTGTGTGATTCCCATGAACACATGGACATGTGGTGAATTGTGCAATTCCCATGGAAATTTGGTGAATTGTGCGATTCCCATGAACACATGGACATGTGGTGAATTGTGCAATTCCCATGGAAATTTGGTGAATTGTGCGATTCCCATGAACACATGGACATGTGGTGAATTGTGCAATTCCCATGGAAATTTGGTGAATTGTGCGATTCCCATGAACACATGGACATGTGGTGAATTGTGCAATTCCCATGGAAATTTGGTGAATTGTGCGATTCCCATGAACACATGGACATGTGGTGAATTGTGCAATTCCCATGGACACATGGACATATTGTGTGGCAGTTTTTTTTGGTGTGGTGTTTGGTAGTGGTCATTGGCTGTGGTAGTGATTGCGATGCAGCTTGTTACTTGTGCCTTGCTTATTTTGCTGCTCCAGTTGTTGTTGGACTCTCCTTGCTCTTCTATCTTCTTCTTTTTGTTCCTCCGAGTGACGTGAATGCGTTGTGACTGTTTACAGCGGTGCTGCGATATTTGCTCCTTTTGGCTGACACATTCGACTTCATTGAGCCTTTGTTTACCGGGTTAACTTCCTGGATAGTTTTGTGGGACAGGAACATGTTATGGCCATATTTGTGTGGTGTTGTCTTTCTCTCCTAATCTACAGGTGTTGCCCCTGGAGACCCTGTCCAGGGCATTCACATGTAGACAAGTCAGCCCTCTAGGGAAGGCAGGGGCAGAATCATGGGCATTCCCTGCTATCCAAGGAGGTTTCCATAAATGCATAGCCGACACATGATGCTCTGGTACTTGGTCTTGCCCAAAGAATCATTACTTCCTGCATATGACTGGTTAATCTCACATCTGTTTATTGAGCTTTCCACTCATCATGGGTTGTGCCCTCCAGAGATCAGCAGGCCTGCAGGTCTGGGACTTTAATGGCCACACAAATAGGTACATATTGATTCCCCACATTAGACACCTTTAACGTTGTTTCATCAGAAAACTTAGCAAGACAGTATAGCAAAAGCATGCATCTGGCATGGCACCCCTTCCCACACTCTGGTGAGTGGGGCCAATAGTAATGAATGTGTGAACCTTTCTGCCAGTTAGGACTTTTTTCGGTCGCACATTTGGGACTGTTTTATGAGCCATAGGACATGTATCAGACGGAGATTTATACCAGACCAGCACACTGACAGTGGCAAATTGTCATGATGTACCTAAGCGTGGTGTCGATGACTCTGAAGAACAGCAAGTTATATATGAAGACAGTACTGTTCTGCAAATTTCTGCCCGCAAGAGATGTTGCTTGTCTAGGTTGTGTGCAAATCTCTTGTTATAAGGCTGATTCTCAGTGTTCTTCCAACATGACAGACATTTTAACCGAGGTTTGTAATTTAGTAGTGTATTTGGCTAGCCGTGGCTACTCATGTTCCAAAATGGGTTTTGATGGACATTTTCTCTCTTGCATTCGGGTGGGCTGATGTGTGCCAGATCGGACACTACATCTTGAGGCCAACAACTCTGATATCCCCTGCCAGCTTAGTTCAGGTCATAAGCTGAGCCCTTATCTGTGGCACACGATAAGGACATGTGGCAGGTGCATGTGGCAGGAGTCTTGCTTGAGGATCCGTAAAACCATCCAAGAGCCGGCTGGCACCCGAAGTGAGATAAGGAGTAACTCCTTTTACACATCACAGCGGCCTTAACTTTCTCTCACACCTGTGATCGATATCACCATCCACTGCTCTTCTTAAGGAGTCCAATAGTCATTTCCCTCATCATAGGCAGCTCTCTTGCATATAGGGTTCCAACATTGTGAACTATCCTCTAGTTACTTGGTAGGCGTGTGATGCATTCCCTGTATCACATGCTTCACACATAGTGTGATAAATACCAATTGTAAAAAATGTCTTTGTACCTACGCTGTGATAAAGTATCAGTTGTAACCATGTCTTTGTACCTACGCTGTGATAAAGTATCAGTTGTAACCATGTCTTTGTACCTACGCTGTGATAAAGTATTAGTTGTAACCATGTCTTTGTACCTATGCTGTGATAAAGTATTAGTTGTAGCCATGTCTTTGTACCTACGCTGTGATAAAGTATTAGTTGTAACCATATCTTTGTACCTATGCTGTGATAAAGTATTAGTTGTAACCATGTCTTTGTACCTACGCTGTGATAAAGTATTAGTTGTAACCATGTCTTTTTACCTACGCTGTGATAAAGTATTAGTTGTAACCATGTCTTTGTACCTATGCTGTGATAAAGTATTAGTTGTAACCATGTCTTTGTACCTACGCTGTGATAAAGTATTAGTTGTAACCATATCTTTGTACCTACGCTGTGATAAAGTATTAGTTGTAACCATATCTTTGTACCTACGCTGTGATAATAAAGTATTAGTTGTAACCATGTCTTTGTACCTACGCTGTGATAAAGTATTAGTTGTAACCATATCTTTGTACCTACGCTGTGATAAAGTATTAGTTGTAACCATGTCTTCGTACCTACGCTGTGATAAAGTATTAGTTGTAACCATGTCTTTGTACCTATGCTGTGATAAAGTGCTAATTTTAACCATTTCTGTGTACTTAAAGAGTGATAAAGTACCAGTTATAACATTTTCTTTATATTTGCAGCTATAGTAAGATAAAATACCAATTGTAACCTTTCCTTTATATCTGCAGTATGAAGTGTTCAGTCTGTCCAACTATCCGCCACTAACAAAGCTCATCTTTGCCCTGTTTATGATACTGGTACCCATCCTGCTGCTGAACATGTTGATTGCCATGATGGGCAACACTTACACACAGGTCATCTCCAAGTCCACCAAGGAATGGTGGAAACAGGTTAGGAACATTTTCATTTCCTTTGTTCTTCCTGTGTTGGTACTGTGGTCCCATTTTAGGAGGGAAAAGAATAGAGCCACTGCCACTCCCCCCCCCCCCCCCAACAAGCATGACATAAAAGGCAACTAATTATGGGTTTCCTTAAAAGCCGGAAGGAAACTGTCTGAGGAGCAAGGAGCCAACAATGTCTAGAACAGGACCAAAGTCCAGAAGTGGACGAAAAACTAGAACTTTCCACCCAGGTTTATAGCTGAGGAACACAGAGAAGAAGAATAAGGGAGGAGCAAACGATTTCCTTTAGAGCTGTGGTATTGTATTGGCTGGAACAAGACAAGCAAAAACTGCATTTTGTAAAATGACAGTGAACAAGCAAAATCTGTAGTTTGTAAAATGACAGTGAACAAGCCAAATCTATATTTTTTAAATGACAATGAACAAGCAAAATCTGTAGTTTGTAAAATGACAGTGAACAAGCAAAATTTGTAGTTTGTAAAATGACAGTGAACAAGCAAAATCTGTAGTTTGTAAAATGACAGTGAACAAGCAAAATCTATATTTTTTAAATGACAATGAACAAGCAAAATCTGTAGTTTGTAAAATGACAGTGAACAAGCAAAATTTGTAGTTTGTAAAATGACAGTGAACAAGCAAAATCTGTAGTTTTGTAAAATGACAGTGAACAAGCAAAATCAGTAGTTTGTAAAATGACAGTGAACAAGCAAACTCTGTAGTTTGTAAAATGACAGTGAACAAGCAAAATCTGTAGTTTTGTAAAATGACAGTGAGCAAGCAAAATCTGTAGTTTATAAAATGACAGTGAACAAGCAAAATCTATAGTTTGTAAAATGACAGTGAACAAGCAAAATCTGTAGTTTGTCTATTGGACATTTATTGAAGAATGTAGGCAGCGTACAGTAACAACTATGATTGAATGGGCACAATCAGAAAGGACATGAGTTAACGACAGATCTTCCATGGCTGGCTCAAGTTCATACTGTTGCAACAGAAGGCAGCTATCACCAAAATTAATGCAGTAGTATAGGTAAACTGTTTCTGAAGCATATGTTTACTTGCAAAAGAATCTGATGTGTCAACTGGACAGTTCAACAGTTTTTTCATAAGAAACTGCAATACTGAAAGGTGTGTCCGCAGTGGGTACCATAGATGTTGGTATGGTAAACACTGGGTTCAGTAAGCAACCACAGTCCTTTTTTGTGGTAAGCAATGGAGTGCTTGCTTGAATGCCTAAGGTTACTTCTTCTCACCAACCCATTGTGCATAATTAATTCTTCTTCTTCTTTGTTCACCAACTGTAAGTTCCGGCAGAAAGTCCTAGATGTTTGTCCATTTGGACTTTGGCTTTGTGCCAGAACCTGCATTTTATGTGTACCTCCATTTTATGAATTATTTGTGTGCAGCTAGTTGTTCCTTGCCACTCGGGGAGATGCACTGCGACTTTGAAGGAACCCCCTAGTTAGTCGACTCCTACGATATGCTTT